TGATAGGTCCTGTTTTCATCCGATGCCATTGCAGGTTATCGTCAACTTCCCGCACACTTCCCAGGAAGCTTGATTCTGCAAAGGAAGCAAGATGATTTCATGAAAAGGCTTTTCGAATGACTATAATTAGGTAGCTGATCGGCCAGTTCTAGTCACTGGTGTTTATTCTTTATTATTGTTCTGTTTACTGTTTATTCGTAGCTATGCATGTACGTACTTCTCTATTTTGTATATAGTCGATGAAATTTGAAGATGTTGACAAAGATCGGGAATCACGTCACCTTAAGAACAGACCAATACGTCAAATTTTGGCAAAAACATTGGAAATTAGTCAACATTAACGTCAATTTCTATGGACTACAGGCTTATCTGGCTTCGACGAGATTCTGCACATACGACAATTACGACAGACATGATTCAAGGGACCAGAAAGCATCACATATGTACTTCGCATTATACGTCCTTATTACTAGCTAAGCTTCTTTTCAGTCGAGCAGAGTTGTCTGCACATCTGCATGATCTGTGATGCAGATTTTCTGCACAAGGGATAATCAGATAAAGGGATCAAGAGCACTTCGCCCGGAAAGCACAGGCCGAAGGTTTGCCCTGAAATCGCCAACTTTTTGATTTCAGGGCAAAACTAAGTCTGCACAAAGTTCTTTTTTTTTGTGTGGAACAGCCTGTAGTGGTGGCTTCGAAACAGAAGATGAACAGAGATGGATTAGAATGAACTTCAAGGTGTTGTTGTTGTTTACTTGTTTATGAAAATAGTAGCTTTTGAAACTGATAAAATATGTTGTGCGCATGTGAAAAAGCATAATTTAAAATTGGCAGAACTATATCAAGTTTGAATTAACTTACGAATCCAGGAATAAATGGCAACTCATGGATTTTCCCTTTTATTCCATTTCGAAGAAATTTGCATAATCGAACTTATTCCTTCACCTTTTTAGTTCTCTCTTGAAGTCTGTGCTCAGAGGCTGCTTAGAGGCTCAATCCACGACGAGGTACCATTTCGGAAGTGTCTGCATAGAATAGTGACGCAAAATTTCGATTCTGCCGAGATATAAGGGTCTTTAAAGTAAGGAGGTACTTATCAGCCACAGTTACGTTACTGTAGGAGACCTCGGAGATCGTTCTTATCGTGTGGGTGAATTGTGCCTTTGAACAGGACACAACTTTTTGTTGGGGGCTGCTCAACAGTACTCAGAAGGCAGCCACCCATAGAATTTGATCATCTTACTGATGTTTGAGCCGATACGAACTCCCATTGCTACCGATCGCTAATAACTGCGAGAGCCATAGCAATTTCAATTGGAATGAGCTTACAGTCTCCCCCAGCGATTATAGAATTAAGTGCGTAGTCAGAACTTAATTAACTAACACCACTACCAGAACTTCGGCCTTCTCTCGAATCGGTCAGAAAAACTTTTTTTGAGGGTTCGCACAAAGCCAAGTAATCGGAATTTTCAGGAGTTTTCAGGAGATTCACATAGGATTGCTAATCTGCTCAACTTTACTGTCAGTACAGTGTGCATATTGTGCGTACAAGTTGATTCTCTCTTGGCTGCCTTCTTCCCGCAATTGACGCAGGTTTACCTCCAAGAATCTACAGTAAGTCTTCCTATACTTACTGGCAAGTACTTAAGATGGCAACATTGAAGTTTCAGATTCGACTAACAACAGACTACAAATTCGGGGAACGTTCTTATCCAGATGGCGTCATTGGTGTTCCTTGTGTGTGTTTCATAATTAATTTGTACCTCTGTGGGAGGTTTTTCTTTCCTTCGAGGGATTGTCCTGCAGTGCTGACGAAACTGCTCGAAAAACCATCAAACTTGAAATCATAACCATTGGAAACAATTTTGACTTGATGTTTTGTTAACTGCTGTTTTAACGCCGCAGTGCGCGAAGCGAGTACGGGTTCGAGTCCCGTCCGAGACTGGAGTTTTGCCCACAAATCGCCAACCTTGTGAGACATTGGAAACAATGTTTCTACGCTTGAAGGAGGTTATGATTACTGGAAAATGTTCCAACATTACTTACCCGAAGGGACCTCGTGGTGCGCCGTAGTCAGAAAGGGATCAGTTCAGAGGGAAGCAGTGTGGGGAACGGAGTAGGCTCCAACGAAGTTGATAGACAAAATCTAATCAAGTGACGGCCTGTATTAAATGGCCCCCAGTTTTGATTTGCCTCCTCATAAAACAGCCCCAATGGTAGTGGAAGGTTCAGACCCCCGAACCGGGACAAGAAACCGACAAGACCCATTGATGACCTTTCCTATGAGGTTTTCCTCGTTACTTCTGTCGCTCTATACAATCAGTACACATTATTCCGCCTCAAAGATTCCCAATTATCTTAATTGGGTGAACTTTATGCAAACCAATCGGGCCATGCTCTTTTTCATTGCTCATGAATGCGAAAAGTGTGACTCACTATGAGCCAAGTGAGCTTGCTGGCCAACTCGTTCTGAGGGAGCAGAGCGTGGTTCTTATTCATGGATGCAAAGACTGTGACTGTTGCTTAAGTTCGGTTAGGCAGAGATACCTACAGACGTAACGAAAAAGGGAACGGTATGATGTCAGCTTTTGGCATCAGGATGGTATTCTAAGGAGAAAACCTCTTGAGCAATGCTATCATGCTATTTCTCTTCTAAAAAAACCTTCTCAGACTGGTAGACTGAAATGAGAATGCCCAAGTAGGCCTGCTGCTGGACGCGGCTGGATCGGGTCAGAAATGAAGACGTCAGGACGGCTAAGCGAACAGCCCCAGTTCAACTGAAGATGAGAGAGCGGCGCCTGCGATGGTTGGGCATGCACTAAAAAGACCACAAAGCCATCCGATAAGGGAGGCAATGGAGTTCGAGACACAAGGTAAGCGGCCATGAGGCCAAAGAAGAGATGGCGGGACGTGATCAAGAAGGACTTCGCCGAAGTCAAGGTGACGGCAGAAGATGCCGTGGATAGATTGAAATGGAGACGACTGACAAGAACAGCGGACCTTGCGGCGGCGCGGAATTAAAGCTAGGGAGAAGAAAAAGAAGAAGAAAGACTGGTAGACATAAGTTGTAGGAGTCAGGAGTAAACAGCATTGTTGTTGCTGAGAAAAGAAAATCATAAAGTGAGTGTTGAGGAGGACGGGGGCCGGTAAAATGGGCAGGATTTAGGGGTGCGAAAAGATTTCGACCAGAAAGACACTAGAGCGAGAAAAGAAGTCTGATCAGTACTCGAGCACGAAATCAACACTTCTCGGAACTAAGCTCAATAACCTTCCATTAAGTCTGCCAGGAACCTGGATGGACTGTACTAGCTTCAGCTTTTGAGGAATCAGTTTGGCATCTTTCATAGTCCACGACCGGTCGCGCGACCAGTCGCGCGATCGATCGCGCGACCGGTCGCTAGCGACTGGCGACCAGTCGCGCGACTGGTCGCGGACCCATCTCACGAGCGACCGGCGACCGGTCGCGCGACCGATCGCGCGACTGATCGCGCGACTGATCNATAGCTTGACCTGTGGTAATTCTGAGTATCTGTGTCTTTTGCATTGAGAAGGTATCGACCACTCCTTCTCACCCCCTTTTTAATGCTGTAGATCTGTCTGCCACTTATTGATACCTCGAAATTTCCAGAGGCTTGGTAACAGTGTGAACGAGCCTTCTCCGGGATGACTGCTAGATTCAACTGATCGTCTCCTTTCACAGCCGTAAACTTAAAGCCTGGAGAGGGGTTCCTCGTAGTTGAGCAGTTCCCAAACAATTACAGTAATGAATACTTGTGATGAAGAGGACTGGCCAGGTTTGATTAAAGAACCTCACACAAAGAATAAGATCATCGAGCACTGACACTGAGAATCTGTTGATTTGCAACTAATTGTTTCTTGAAACCACCTGTTGTCAACAGCCTTTTGTCTTTGACTTTGCGAGGTTGTTTTTTCCCAATAATTACATTCTCGGGATTATTTCAGGAGTAAGTTTTTGATCTTGGAACGTCACGATCAGAAGAACAACGTTTCTCAGAGGCTCACCCCCCAAATTATTGAACATTAGACCTGACGAGTTATTAATCATAATAAATAGGTACATTGTTGCGAAGTATCGAACGTGTTCAATTAGCAAATTACCATGAATTTTAAGCGTTTCGACCTAATTTCGTGAAATATTGCTCAGCTAGGGGTTTTCCTCAGTCGGTCCTACAAGGATTTCACTACTGTTTGAAGTGCTAGGAGATGATCAGATTCTTCCTATTACTTTCGATTGGCCACTAAGGATGCTCCTCATCAAGATCAGCATGGATTTTTCACGATTTTTTTTTCTACAATCGAATGCAACTGGTTTTTTGTAAGCGACCAAAAATCTAGACTGCATGAACCAGTTTTTGGATGAACATGGCTCGGAATTATTGGAGATTTTCCATTTTTTTATAGAAAAAAATTGGCAGAAACATAGGTAATAAAAGGATAAAGTTTTCAGCGTTAATCAATCCCGTCTGAGGGATGCGCCCCGCACTCGACTTCCATTCAGGATCGCAGCGGCGTAATGAGTGCGTATGTGGCCTATACAATGACTTGAGGTGGCCAGCCGATGTACAAATCAGAGCTTTTATCCTCCCAGACGAGTCTGGTACCGATTAACCGACCCCACAGGGATGGAGGGCTCGGTTGGCCTAGGCGGACATCGATCCAAGATTCGAACCCCCGACCGGAAGAATTATATAAATGTGATCACGATGACAGGTGAATTATTCATTTAAAAATCATACAAATTGCTCATAAAAGCCAAATTTGGACTACGTGTAATGTGAAAAAGCAGAAGTGACAAGAAGATACATTACAAACTAGTTTCTGAGAAGAGTTGTAAAAAGAAATCATTGTAACTGAAATCAGTAAACTTCATAGTTATGGAAAATTGCTATAATCTGTATTGTAGAGGATTATGTATATAATAGAATATGCGAAGACGAAGAGTAGCTGATAAGTCTTTAGGAATTCAAAAAAAGATCAAATTAGAAAGCTTCTTCACCGCGGGAGAGCAGCTCAGGGCTGATTTGGCGCATGTGTATCATAACGGCTTGAATGAATGTTCGTAGGTAGAACTCAGGAAAACCCTGTCGAGCGGCCGACTAGAAGAGCGGTTTTTAGAGCAAGGAATTGAGAACCTCTCCGTTTCAGCCCCGCTTTTCGGCACCTCTTAGGAGGCACTGCGGAAAATGGGAAATAATCAAATCTCTTGGTAAACTCACAACTGCCAATGGGACTCCGTCAATAAGAACATCTCCAAGTGCTTGGCAAAGTTTTTCTTGTTTTGGATATTCGAGGATTTCCAGCACCTAAAACGATGACCTTACATTTCCGGAATTCATGTCACTGTGAAGGCAAAGCTGAACTCATGACAGAAGTAAATTAGTAGCTAGTCAGATTCCCCTCCGAACCGTCACATTTTATTAGATTCTTCTCATAGGGTGGCGGTTCCCATCTTGAGAAATGTGGGTACATTCTTACATCATATTCCACCCAAGAAAGCTACAGGTAGTAGTTGGTTGTCCGGAGCCTGTTAGGTCTTCAACTAGTACTGGATTACGTCGTATTTCAACTTTATCGACGAGCAGCAATCGCTCGAGATTAAAAAAGTACAGCCAAACGAGCCAGTTCGATCAAGATCATCCTCAACTTTTTTCCACTTTGACACAACTTGAGCAGATCTGGTACATGAGCCACACATTGTTCCCAAGAAAACTTCTAAGCCTTTGCTTACTTCATCGGTTTTTGATGACTGAGTTTTGAGTAATATCTTGAGACCCTAGGACATCAACGACTAGACAATTTGAAGAAAAGCTATAATCATCAGTTTGATCCCGAGTTGTTGCCAAAATATTGAATATGGCTTAGTATCCAAGAAAGAGGGTTTCTGCTTGTCTACACGGTGAATACTCGATTAAATGTCTTTCAATGATATCCCTAAGTATAATAGTTTGGAGCCCATAAGTCTTCCCTGGACAAAGAGCATAGAATCAATTAAGCTCAGACTTCGAGAATAAAAAACTTAGAGGCACAATTCGCGATAATTTTGAGGTACCTGTGTTTATTCGAAAAGCGGAAGTATAGACTGGGATAGCTCATCGGTAGCGAAGGAGGCGAGAGAACTTGCTGATCCCGAGGAAATTATGGCTACTCAAAAGTAAGGAAAATAGAGGGTGGACGAGATCGTCATGACGGAAATAACATGGAAGTGGTATTCCGGCGAGATTTCAGTTGTTGCAATTGCACAAACAGCTGACTACATCAAGCTAGAACTGTACAGAACTCTCTTTCACTGTGACTATGGGTCGTGACGAGTTGTTTGAACTTCCTACATGGGTTTCCTCGTGATTGGTATTTGGTACGTACCTCCACAATGCCGGTGATACACGTCCGAGGATACACACGGGCCAATCTTTGAGCCTTTACAACATCCTAACTAGGCCGTTCTCCGACCTAAGAGTGCCAGATATGGTATACGCGGGGGCCTCAAATTCATCCTGCGGGGTGATCTCAGAAATCCTTTTTATCGTGAACTGTGCCTTTAAGGAATTGCAAGGCAGTCAAAAGCATCTATTCAGAAAGCTCCGACAAGCCATGAAGTTGAAGTCAAGTACCATTACTGAAAAGATACTCTTACCTCATTTATGACTTCCATTAGTCTACTTCTTCTACTATCATTCTCATTAGGTGGCACCACGCTTCGTTCTTCACCACTCTGAACTTTCTTGGACTCTGCCACGCCAGTACCGGCACCTTTCTTGGGTCGTCTTCTTCTCTGCGTTGGTTTTTCTGGAGGCATAGAAGGTTCAATTTTCATTTGAGTAGGCTTATCCTCTCTTTTGGCAGGGACTTTCTTCAGCTTTGGAGAATTTCGGGAAACAGCTCCACTTAGCCGGTTTCGTTTCGCTGCTGGAAAACAGGCAGGTAAATCCACCGGATGGTAAAGAAAAAGAAAGGAGGTTGAAGAGAAGCCAACGACCATACCATCGGTGTGATCTTTTATGCAAGACAGTTGTCTTGAGCATTTTTCACCTTAAATAGATCTTTAGGAAAAAATACCTCGAATTCTAGTAGCGTCGGACAGAGGAAGGCGTTTCTTAGACATCTTGTGAGAGCTCGTTGTTCCAGGTGGATAGTGATTTCCTGAATCAACATAGATTGCTCCGAAGATTGATCTTGGGGTTAAAAGAGCTCAGAGCGCCACAGTAACACTGAGTTTTTTAAAAATAGACTCTTTAGACTCTTAATTTATACTGCAAAAGTAAAAGGCGAAATTTTGGAATAAAGCAGTTTTACTATCTCTGTATATTCTGAAATTCTGGTCTTTACCTGCATTCATCACCAGGCAAAAGGAAACGCTTCGGAAATGGCATGCCGGGCTTGGATCCCCAACACTTTCAAGTTAGTCTTTCTGTAACGGCCCACCTAGCCTCATGTTCCTTCTTGTTGCTTCTGATGATACTGGTGGGCACCAAATGAAAAAGCTTCAGATTAAGTGAAGCCACTCGCAGGGTTATTGAACAGCCTCTTCCAAATATCGGACAAGAAAAAGAGTTTAACTCAAATTAGCCAATTTCTATGATAGCGCACTCACGAGTAAATAAATAAATAAATAAATAAATAAATAAATAA